TAAGGGCAATGTGTGGTGTAAATATTATGCAGAAAATTCGGAGTGTGGAAATTAGGAGAAGGTGTGGAGTTAATAAAAGAATTAGTCAGAGGGCAGAAGAGGGGTTGTTGAGGTGGTTTGGTCATTTAGAGAGAATGGATCAAAGTAGAATGACATGGAAAGCATATAAATCTATAGGGTAAGGAAAGAGGGGTAGGGGTCGTCCTCGAAAGGGTTGGAAAGAGGGGGTAAAGGAGGTTTTGTGGGCGAGGGGCTTGGACTTCCAGCAAGCGTGCATGAGCGTGTTAGATAGGAGTGAATGGAGATGAATGATACTTGGGACCTGACGATCTGTTGGAGTGTGAGCAGGGTAATATTTAGTGAAGGGATTCAGGGAAACCGGTTATTTTCATATAGTCGGACTTGAGTCCTGGAAATGGGAAGTACAATGCCTGCACTTTAATAACCCCTTAAGGGTCCAAGGTCCAAATCTGAAGTGGTGCCCCAGTGTCCAAGAATTTAAAACAAAAAATTTGTTATTTTTTCTTATGAAATGGTAGAGAATCTTTTTGTGAAGGTAATAAAACAAAAAGTACGAAATTTGATGGAAAATTGACGAAATTATGCTCTCGCGAATTTTGATGTGTCAGCGATATTTACGAATCGGCGATTTTGCCGACTTTGACTCCCATTTTAGGCCAATTACATTATTCCAGTCAACCAAATTCTTAGCTATTTCACTAGTATTACTTCTATTCTATCGATTGAGCACAAGAAATCGCCAAGTCAACTGTTTCAACTACAAATTAAAGTGATCGGAAATTGTTAATTTGGCCAATTTAACACAAAGTTCAAAATATTCCAATTTCAAAATAGGGTTCAGAATAAACAATGTAGGTATTCCTGGAACTAAACTAACATTTCCTCTGTTCATTAGTTACGTTTTGAGGCTTTACAAATAAATTCCATTTTGATTTTTTATTCACATAATGAATTTTTATTCACACCAAAAAATAGAAGATTTACTGTTATGCAATACTGTAATAATTGTATAAATATCATCACCATATTTGTGAATGCATATTAGACCAACCAGCTGGCGTGTATTAAACGTGTGAGGTCGTTTGTTTACTCTTGAATATCGGCAAAAATTTAACATTTCTGCTACTTTGAGCTCAGTTTCAAGCCATTTCCAGTGCTAAAACCAATCAAAATCATCTCTATTTCTGTAATATGTCTTCCATTCTATCAAATGAGACCAAGAAATCACAAATAGAACTATAAAAAACATACGAAAAAACACTGCAAAGTCGCTGTTTTAATCGAAAAATCATGATTTCAGTTTTTTTCTCTCATTATACACAGCGTGCTGCAGGATCTGTTTTATGTGGTGCACACATACCACATAGATGTATTCTCTCATATCTAGGCCCAAATGTACCACTCACAGTTTATCAGAGTGAGCTGAGCTCATGACATAGATCTACGGTTTGGACCCTGAACGTAAAGCCGTAGATCTACGGGATGGACCCTCAAAGGGTTAAGGGAGGGATTTGGGATATTGGCAGTTTGGAGGGATATGTTGTGTATCTTTATACGTATATGCTTCTAAGCTGTTGTATTCTGAGCACCTCTGCAAAAACAGTGATTATGTGTGAGTGTGGTGAAAGTGTTGAATGATGATGAAGAAAGTATTTTCGTTTTGGGGATTTTCTTTCTTTTTTGGGTCACCCTGCCTCGGTGGGAGACAGCCAACTTGTTGAAAAAAAAAAAAAATCAGCACTTTTGTTTCAGGTACATAAACACACGTCTGATCTTATATAACCTGTCGCTTCTGTCAGGCTTGGTTTTGTCTGAAAAGTGTAACATACGTAACAGTAACACAAATCTGTTCACTGGTATAATGTCACTGAAAGCAGGGGTTGAAATCAGGCGGTCTGTTGCCCAGTATGTGTTGACACTATGCTTATACACATGTGGCATAAGCATTATTGTGGCAAAGAACAGATACATCTCTGCCACAGTTGTGTCTTTCCACTGGTGTAGGCGTGATCTTGGTGACAGAATAGTGTTTGCCATGGTGTACTCACAGTATGTATTGCTTTCCCTGACAATAATGTCCATCAGGGGTTCATCGAAGAACAACTGAAAGCATTCCAGTTCAGTGGGATTGTTCCCAAGTGTACATGATGGCCGTATTCCACTTTGTCCTCCATCAAAGTCATGGGGATTGGGAACAAACTCGTCATCTTGCTGCCAATCCCAGATACGGTCAGCTGGTGCATTCTGGATATTGTAATGTGGTTGTGGTTGTGCAGGTTGTGGTTGTGGTTGTGGGAGTGTGGGGTCGGGTGAGGCTGGTTGTAGTTGTGCAGAGTCAGCAGCACGGGTAGTAGCGTGGCCCGCTGCTGGTGTCACATGACTCATGCCACCATCACTATCACCAACACCGCCTGCTGCCTCACTCACATCATTTATACCCATCATAACAATATCGTCATCTTCACTATCAGGACGTGGTGTAGGGCCACGGGATGTGCTCCTTCCTCTTGGAAGAGCATATGGCACACTACCAAACCACATGCGACAGCGTATATACTGCCGCTTCACTGGGGAATATTCACCCTCACTGTCACAACTAGAACTGTTTTCAATATCCTTGAAATCACTATCACTATCACTTGCACTGCTCACATCTGAGTCTTGTACACGGGCAAATAGTTTCCTCTTTTGTCCTGGTACAGGTGAACATGAACGAGCCGGCCCAGCACCAGAGGTGGAAGGTTGTGGGTCATCTGGGTTTTCATCACTAATTATGACTCAAGAAATCGTAATGACACGATTGCAAATAAACCATACCCCCGGCCGGGATTGAACCCGCGGTCATAGAGTCTCAAAACTCCAGCCCGTCGCGTTAGCCACTAGACCAGCTAGCCACAATAAGATTCATCCAACTATGACCGCGGGTTCAATCCCGGCCGGGGGTATGGTTTTTTTGGATCACTAATTATGTTATCCTGGGTAATTTTCTCGGTCACACCCGCTTCAAAACCAGGGAATTCACTTTCACTATCATCACTGTTTGAGCTATCACTTGGGAACAAAAGACCTCCAATCCGCCGAGGAGTGAGGAACTTCTTACTGTGAGGCATGGTGAAAATGGACTACCAAGATGGTGTTCCCACAATGCACCTCTGAGTCCCAGATTTTTTTCACAGGGTGCACACCGACCACTGAGACCCATTCTCTCTCGTGTAGGCCTACCAGCCCTCTCCCGCTTGATTTGAAGCCGCTAGAATTTATGCGTATAGATACGTCAAACACGGTATCTCCCATGACGTATATATATGACCGCGACAGTCAAAGGGTTAAAACAGAGACTTTGCACTGTATTTTCGTATGGTATTTATGATGGTATTCTAGTTTTCCTGGTCTCATTTTATAGAATGAAAGACATATTACAGAAATTGAGATGATTTTGATTGGTTTTACAATGAAAAGTACCTTGAAATTGAGCTCAAAGTAGCAGAAATCTTTGAGTTTTGCCAAAGTTCAAAAGTAAACAAATCATGCTACGCGTCCAAGACACGTCAACTGGCGAGTCTAATATTCTTTCACATGTGCGCTGATATTATTTATACCATTTCTACACTAATGCAGTAGTCTGCATAACAGTAAATCTACTATTTTTTGTGGGAATAAAAATTCAAAGTGGAAAGCAAAAGAATGTAAGAGGGGTGTGGGGACGTGACTAATGAACAGAGGAAATGTTATTTTAGTGCCAGGAATGTCTTATAGTTGAAATCGGTAAATTAGTGGTTTCTTGTACTCATTCGATAGAAAAAATGGAGTTCTAGCGAAATAGTTATGATTTTTGTCGACTAGTACACTGGAATTGGCCGAAAATAAGGCTCAATGTGGGCAAAATCGCCAATGTGTAAACATCGTTGAGACCGCTAACTTTGCAAGAGCATAATTCCGTAAGTTTTCCATTAAATTTCATACTTTTGGTGTCATTATGATCGGGAAAAGATTCTCTATCTTTTCATAAGATTTTTTTTTTTTAAATTTGTCGACCCTGAGAACAAGTCTGGGAGAGGGCCTGTCAACCCTGAAAGGGTTAAGAGTGACATCTAAACTATCATATCTGTGCACCTCTGCAAAGACAGTGATAGTGTGAATGATGGTGAAAGCATTTTTGTTTTTTTGGAGGGGGGGGGACCCTGCCTCAGTGGGAGATGGCCAGCATGTTAAAAACAATTATAAAATAAAATATACCCTCAACTGAAACTGCCACTGTGCCAAAGTGGCATGAAGAATACTTTTAAACTCTGCAGTCAAATTGTTGCCTTTTTGTTATCCTGACATTTTTATTCAAAAAGGCACAAACCCGCATATCAGTATAGCCTGGAGGCATTTTGTGTGTGCTTGTGTTTGGTGCAGTTTTCTATGGAGGTCTATAGTTGTTTGTATAGATGAAGATAACAGGAAACCATTGGAAGAGAAAACAGGTACTGAGTGGCACTTGAGATTCTGATACGGTGTTTTAGGAGTAAAACTGATGAGCTGTGATTTCACTAAGAATTCATCAGAAAATGTTTCACAGCACACCAATGGTGTAGTAAATAATAAAATTAATAATAAATAAATAATAATAAGAATAAAATTACAGTGGACCCCCCAGTTTACGATATTATTTCATTCCAGAAGTATGTTCAGGTGCCATTACTGAACGAATTTGGTCCCATAAGGAATATTGTGAATTAGATTAGTCCATTTCAGACCCCCAAACATACACGTACAAACGCACTTACATAATTGGTCGCATTGGGAGGTGATCGTAAAGCAGGGGTCCACTGTATCTGTATGCCTCAAGTAAGACAGTGATGTACTGAGCAATGATGAAAATGTTTCACCTTTCTCGGGTCACCCTGCCTCAGTAGGAAATGGCTGATGTATTAAAGAAATAACAATAAAAATAATACCAGACTCAGATCCCCATAAAACATTCAAAAACTAACCTTTTAATAAGAGTTTCATCCATAAATTCTGGGCAAAGGGTGCTGATCAAATAATTTTCAAGTTCTAAAAGCCAAAACATGCCCAGCAACCCAGGATTGCACATGTGCAATGCATCCACAACAGATCTTGGACTTCTACTGTTGTCTATGTGGACAAGAGTGCTCCTGCTGAAAATTTACTTTGCTTCATTAGTTAAAAAAAAAAAAATTCCAATGTTTTCTTTTTATTAAAAATTCTAAACTTCAAAAAGAAGAGTTTTAAATTTTCTTACTCTCTCAAATGTCATTACAGTATGAACCTATTTTTTTTTCAACACACTGGCTGTCTTCCACCAAAGCAGGGTGGCCCAAGAAAAGAAACACTTTCACCATCATTCATACAAACACTGTCTTATCAGAGGCATACAGATATGACAGTTCAGATGTCACTCCAAACAGCAAATCTCCCAAACCCCTTCTTTAAAGTGCAAGCACTTTGCTTCCCACCTCCAGGACTCAAGTCCAGCTAACCAGTTTCCTTGAATCCCTTCACAAAATATTACCCTGCTCACACTCCAACAGCTTGTCAAGTTCTATAGACCATTTGTCTCCATTCACTCCTATCTAACAAGCTCACACATGCCTGCTGTATGTCCAAGCCCCTTGCACACAAAACCTCTTTTACCCCCTACCTTCATCCTTTCTTAGGACAGCCCCTATCCCTCCTTTCCTCCACTACAGATTTATGCATCCTCCAAGTCATCCTATTTTGTTCCATTCTCTCTAAATGACCAAACAACCAAACAATTCAAAGTTACTGAAGGAAACTTAATAGAGAAAAAACTAATGGTTTCTGCTATACAGAAAACAATCCAGGCAGGCCCCACTTCACAGCGCTTCACTTTACGGCATTTCGCTAATATAAAGGTTTTACATTATACCCATTCTTCATTTATGCAGACTTCCTACAACAAATATATTCACCTCTCATTATAAGCTAAGGATGAAAATATTTTAAGGTAAGTAATGTGTGTACTGTATATGCAATTTTTAGGCCTAGTTATATTGCTCGCTTAGTATTTGATAGTGTAAACATATTATCAGGCTTTTATATGCATTTGAAAATTTAAAAAGCTATTATTCACTTTATAGTAATTTTTGCTTTATGCAGTAGCCAAAAATCTAATCTGCTGTATAAGCAGGGCCCTACTATAAGAGTAGTAGTAGCAGCAACAGTAAGAGTAGGAGTGAATGGAGACGAATGGTATTTGGGACCTGACGAGCTGTTGGAGTGTGAGCAGGGTAATATTTAGTGAAGGGATTCAGGGAAACCGGTTATTTTTATATAGCCGGACTTGAGTCCTGGAAATGGGAGGTACAATGCCTGCACTCTAAAGGAGGGGTTCAGGATATTGGCAGTTTGGAGGGATATGTTGCATATCTTTATACATATATGCTTCTAAACTGTTGTATTTTGGGCACCTCTGCAAAAACAGTGATTATGTGTGAGTGAGGTGAAAGTGTTGAATGATGATGAAAGTATTTTCTTTTTGAGGATTTTTTCTTTCTTTTTGGGTCACCCTGCCTCGGTGGGAGACGGCCAACTTGTTTAAAAAAAAAAAAAAAAAAAAAAAAAAAAAAAAAAATGAATAATAATAATAATAATAATAATAATAGAGTTTGCAGTGACATCTAAACTGTTCTATCTGGGCACCTTTGGAAAGACAGTGATTATGAGTGAATGATGGTGAGTGTATCTTTCCTGTTTGGGTTACCTTGCCTCAGTGGGAGACGGCAGACATGTTGAAAAAAGTAATAATAATAATAGTAACAGTAATAGTACTAATAATTAAAACAATAATAATAATAATAATAATAATAATAATAATAATAATAATAACCATCTCAACATTATTATTATAATTATTACTGCTGAGATGGTTTGGTCATTCAGAGAGAATGAAATAAAGTAGAATGACTTGGAGAGCATATAAATCTGTAGGGGAAGGAAGGCAGGATAGGGGTCAGCCCCGAAAAGGTTGGAGGGAAAGGAAGAGATGGACTTCCAGCAAGCGTGCGTGTGTTAGGAGTGAATGGAGATGAATGGTTTTTTGAGACCTGATGAACTGTTAGTGTGAGCAGGGTAATATTTTGTGAAGAGATTCAAGGAAACCGGTTAGCCGGACTTGAGTCCTGGAAATAGGAAGTACAACACCTGCACTCTAGAGGAGGAGTTCGTGATATTGGCAGTTTGAAGGTACATCTGAACTGTCGTATCTGGGTGCCTCTGCAAAGACAGTGATTATGTACGAGTGATGGTGAAAGTGTTGAATGATGATGAAAGTTTTTTCTTTCTTTTTGGGTTTTTCTTTCTTTCTTACTGAGTTATCCTACCTTGGTGGGAAACAGCTGACGTGTTAAAAAAAAAATAATAATAAGGTACCTAGGGATTGGCAGAGGTTATGCATAGTACCGCTGTATAAAGGAAAAGAGGACAAAAGAGAGAGTAAGAATTATAGGGAAATACCATATTTCACGGCTTATTAGATGCATGTTTTTTCCCCATAAAATGTCTAGAATAACCACCCTGTGTCCTATAAACTGAAGGTCAGTGACAGGAGCTATAAGTCTGGGGTGTGGGATGGGCTGTAGCTCTTCAAGTTATGTGCAATGCTGAGCTATTGAAACTAAAACAAGTCTTTTAAGTCTATGGTAAGTCTGTTGTGTAAACCAGGTAAAGTGTAAAGGGTAAGGCAGAAAGCAAGATCACAGATGAGCAAGGCTTTAGGGAAGGTATGGTATATATAGACCAAGTGTTTACATGGAAGCATATAACCGAACAATATTTATATAAGGGTAAGGAAGTTTTTGTTGCAATTATAGATTTAAAAAAGGCATATGATAAGGTGGATAGGAGAGCAATGTGGCAGATGTTGCAAGTATTTGGAATAGATGGTAGGTTACCAAAAGAGGTTAAGAGTTTTTATGAGGATAGTGAGGCTCAGGTTAGGGTATGTAGGAGGGCGGGAGATTATTTTCCAGAGAAAGTAGGCCTTAGACAGGGATGTGTGATGTTACCATGGTTGTTCAATATATTTATAGAAGGGATTGTAAGAGATGCAAATGTTCAGGTGTTGACAAGAGGTTGGGATTAAAAAGAGAGAGTATCTAACACAAAGTGGGAGTTATCACAGATGCTTTTTACTGATGACACTGTGCTCTTGGGAATGTTTGAAGAGAAGTTGCAGAGATTGGTGGACGAGTTTGGAAGGGTATATAAAAGAAGGAAATTAAAGTGAACATAGGAAAGAGCAAGGCAATGAGGATAACAAAAGCATTAGGAAGTGAAAGATTTGATATCAGACTGGAGGGAGGGAGTATGGAGGAAGTGAATGCATTCAAGTATTTTGGAGTGGATGTGTCAGCAGATGGGTCCTTGAAAATTGATGAGGGGGGAAAAGGTCAGTAGAGCACTGAGGAGTCTGTGGAGACAAAGAACATTATCCATGGAAGCAAAGATGGGAATGTATGAGAGTACAGTGGTACCAACACTCTTTTATGGGTGTGATGCATAGGTGGTGAATGTTGTAACAAGAAGGCTGAAGGCCATGGAGATGTCATGTCTGAAGCCAATGTGTGGTGTGAATATAATGCAGAGAATCCGTAAGTTGGAGACTAGGAGGAGGTGGCGGGTTTCTAAAAGTATTATCCAGAGTACAGAGGAGGGGTTGTTGAGGTGATTTGGACATTTAGAGAGGATGGAACAGAATAGAATGACTTGGAGGACATATAAATCTGTAGCAGAAGGAAAGTAGGGTTGAAGTCGTCCTAGGAAAGGTTGGAGGGAGGGGGCTGAGAAGGTTTAGTGTGCAAGGGGCTTGGACTACCAGAAAGTGTGCGTGAGCATGTTAGACAGGAGTGAATGGAGACGAATGGCTTTTATGATTTGACGTGCTGTTGGAGTGTGAGCAAAGTAACATTTACGAAGGAGGTGGGAAGTTAAGTGCATGCACTCTGAAGGAGAGGTGTTGATATGTTGCAGCTTTTTAACTATAGTGTAGGCATGCCTCTGGCAAGACACTGATGGAGTGAGTGATGATGAAAGTGCTTCTTCTTTTTTGAGTCCCCCTTCCTTGGTGGGAAACTGCCAATGTGTTAATAAAGAAATAAAAAATTTGAGAGGAAAGAAATGCAAATTAGCCTCTAGATCAGAAAGCATTGGCATATTGGAAATATATTTTATTTATCTTTGCACCCATAATAAGCAAACTTACCAGACTATGGTTAAAGAAAAATTATGAGCAGAAACAAATCAATTAAAAATAACAGGTGTCACAAACAGAGAGAGATTAATTATTAAAAACTTTATAGTTAAACAATTTATGGTTTAGCACTTACAGTAGGATCTCCATATCCACGGGACAGGTTTCTGCAGTTTCAGTTATCCACAGTTGATCCTGACCCAAAAATAACTCTTAATATTCCTTAATAATGGCCACAAAGTGCAAAAGCAGTGATGGTGGAAGTTCTTTAAAGGCTAAGAGAAACAATGAAGTATTTCCCATCAATTAAAAAGTGCTAATTCTGGACTTATTGTGCATAATTTATCAATCAAACTTTATCATAGGCATGTGTGTGTAAACAAAAAACAACTTGTATATAGGGTTTTCTATTATCCACAGTCTCGGGTATCTGCGGTAGGCCTTGGAATGTATCCCCCACAGATATGGGGATCCTAGTGCATATTCTAACAAATACAAATAAAGGAAGGGGTAGCAGTAATGTTGAAGGATCAGTTATGGAAGGAGAAAAGAGAATATGAATGTGAAAATTCAAGAATTATGTGGATTAAAGTAAAGGTTGGATGCGAAAAGTGAGTCATAATAAGCGTGTATGCACCTGGAGAAGAGAGGAATGTAGAGGAGAGAGAGAGATTTTGGGAGATGTTAAGTGAATGTATAGGAGCCTTTGAACCAAGTGAGAGAGTAATTGTGGTAGGGGACCTGGATGCTAAAGTAGGAGAAACTTTTAGAGAGGGTGTGGTAGGTAAGTTTGGGGTGCCAGGTGTAAATGATAATGGGAGCCCTTTGATTGAACTTTGTATAGAAAGGGGTTTAGTTATAGGTAATACATATTTTAAGAAAAAGAGGATAAATAAGTATACAAGATATGATGTAGGGCGAAATGACAGTAGTTTGTTGGATTATGTATTGGTAGATAAAAGACTGTTGAGTAGACTTCAGGATGTACATGTTTATAGAGGGGCCACAGATATATCAGATCACTTTCTAGTTGTAGCTACACTGAGAGTAAAAGGTAGATGGGATACAAGGAAAATAGAAGCATCAGGGAAGAGAGAGGTGAAGGTTTATCAACTAAAAGAGGAGGCAGTTAGGGTAAGATATAAACAGCTATTGGAGGATAGATGGGGTAATGAGAGCATAGGCAATGGGGTCGAAGAGGTATGGGGTAGTTTTAAAAATGTAGTGTTAGAGTGTTCAGCAGAAGTTTGTGGTTACAGGAAAGTGGATGCGGGAGGGAAGAGGAGCGATTGGTGGAATGATGATGTAAAGAGAGTAGTAAGGGAGAAAAAGTTAGCATAAGAGAAGTTTTTACAAAGTAGAAGTGATGCAAGGAGGGAAGAGTATATGGAGAAAAAGGGAGAGGTTAAGAGAGTGGTGAAGCAATGTAAAAAGAGAGCAAATGAGAGAGTGGGTGAGATGTTATCAACAAATTTTGTTGAAAATAAGAAAAAATTTTTGGAGTGAGATTAACAAGTTAAGGAAGCCTAGAGAACAAATGGATTTGTCAGTTAAAAATAGGAGAGGAGAGTTATTAAATGGAGAGTTAGAGGTATTGGGAAGATGGAGAGAATATTTTGAGGAATTGTTAAATGTTGATGAAGATAGGGAAGCTGTGATTTCATGCATAGGGCAAGGAGGAATAACATCTCGTAGGAGTGAGGAAGAGCCAGTTGAGAGTGTGGGGGAAGTTCCTGAGGCAGTAGGTAAAATGAAAGGGGGTAAGGCAGCTGAGATTGATGGGATAAAGATAGAAATGTTAAAAGCAGGTGGGGATATAGTTTTGGAGTGGTTGGGGCAATTATTTAACAAATGTATGAAAGAGGGTAAAGTACCTAGGGATTGGCAGAGAGCATGCATAGTTCCTTTGTATAAAGGCAAAGGGGACAAAAGAGAGTGCAAAAATTATAGGGGGATAAGTCTGTTGAGTATACCTGGTAAAGTGTATGGTAGAGTTATTATTGAAAGAATTAAGAGTAAGACGGAGAATAGGATAGCAGATGAACAAGGAGGCTTTAGGAAAGGTAGGGGGTGTGTGGACCAGGTGTTTACAGTGAAACATATAAGTGAACAGTATCTGGATAAGGCTAAAGAGGTCTTTGTGGCATTTATGGATTTGAAAAAGGCGTATGACAGGGTGGATAGGGGGGCAATGTGGCAGATGTTGCAGGTGTATGGTGTAGGAGGTAGGTCACTGAAAGCAGTGAAAGAGTTTTTACGAGGATAGTGAGGCTCAAGTTAGAGTACGTAGGAAAGAGGGAAATTATTTCCCAGTAAAAGTAGGCCTTAGACAGGGATGTGTGATGTCACCGAGGTTGTTTAATATATTTATAGATGGGGTTGTAAGAGAAGTAAATGCGAGGGTCTTGGCAAGAGGCGTGGAGTTAAAAGATAAAGAATCACACATAAAGTGGGAGTTGTCACAGTTGCTCTTTGCTGATGACACTGTGCTCTTGGAAGATTCTGAAGAGAAGTTGCAGAGATTGGTGGATGAATTTGGTAGGGTGTGCAAAAGAAGAAAATTAAAAGTGAATACAGGAAAGAGTAAGGTTATGAGGATAACAAAAAGATTAGGTGATGAAACATTGGATATCAGATTGGAGGGAGAGAGCATGGAGGAGGTGAATGTATTCAGATATTTGGGAGTGGACGTGTCAGCGGATGGGTCTATGAAAGATAAGGTGAATCATAGAATTGATGAGGGGAAAAGGGTGAGTGGTGCACTTAGGAGTCTGTGGAGACAAAGAGGGGAATGTATGAGAGTATAGTTTTACCAACGCTCTTATATGGGTGTGAAGCATGGGTGATGAATGTTGCAGCGAGGAGAAGGCTGGAGGCAGTGGAGATGTCAAGTCTGAGGGCAATGTGTGGTATGAATATAATGCAGAGAATTCGTAGTTTGGAAGTTAGGAGGAGGTGCGGGATTACCAAAACTGTTGTCAAGAGGGCTGAGGAAGGGTTGTTGAGGTGGTTTGGACATGTAGAGAGAATGGAGCGAAACAGAGTGACTTCAAGAGTGTATCAGTCTGTAGTGGAAGGAAGGCGGAGTAGGGGTTGGCCTAGGAAAGGTTGAAGGGAGGGGATAAAGGAGGTTTTGTGTGCGAGGGGCTTGGACTTCCAGCAGGCATGCGTGAGCGTGTTTGATAGGAGTGAATGGAGACAAATGGTTTTTAATACTTGACGTGCTGTTGGAGTGTGAGCAAAGTAACATTTATGAAGGGGTTCAGGGAAACCGGCAGGCCGGACTTGAGTCCTGGAGATGGGAAGTACAGTGCCTGCACTCTGAAGGAGGGGTGTTAATGTTGCACTTTAAAAACTGTAGTGTAAAGCACCCTTCTGGCAAGACAGTGATGGAGTGAATGATGGTGAGAGTTTTTCTTTTTCGGGCCACCCTGCCTTGGTGGGAATCGGCCAGTGTGATAATAAAATAAAAAAAGTATAGTACCTGTACTTACTTTGTCTTTCTCACTAAGCTCCGTCCACAACATATGAAATAAAATATTCCATCAATCTTCAAGTGGTGGACATTGTAGGCTGATACAGTATCTCCTATTTCAAAGCATTTATATTTGTTCTTTTTGGATGCACTGACAGAGTCATCTAAAACAGCAACACCTTGCTGAGAAATATCTGATGTGCTCATCTTTTTGTCATCTACCAAATCCTCACAGCAAAGTTCTCCAACAAGATCATACAGATAGGTGGTGATGAGGCGAGCCTTCCCATCAACTTCATATATTCCAGCATCATTAATAACGGCGCTTATTTTACCCTGGAATATATGTATCATCTTATGGTTTAAAACAAACATTATCAGATAAAAGATATACAGTAAATAGCATTTATCATCTATTTATGAGCATCACCATTCAAGACACAGTAAAGGATGTGAAGTCTTTCTCACACTTTCTTATACTTCTTCTTTCAACAAACTGACCGTATCCCACCGAGGCAGGGTGGCCCAAAAAGAAAAACAAAGTTTTTTTTAAATTTAGTAATTTATACAGAAGGGGTTACTAGCCCCTTGCTCCTGGCATTTTAGTTGCCTCTTACAACACGCATAGCTTACGGAGGAAGAATTCTGATCCACTTCCCCATGGAAATAAGAGGAAATAAACAAGAACATGAACTAGTAAGAAAATAGAAGAAAACCCAGAGGGGTGTGTATATATATGCTTGTACATTTATGTGTACAAGCAAGGAGGGAAGAGTATATGGAGAAAAAGAGAGAGGTTAAGAGAGAGGCGAAGCAAAGTAAAAAGAGAGCAAATGAGAGAGTGGGTGAGATGTTATCAACAAATTTTGTTGAAAATAAGAAAAAGTTTTGGAGTGAGATTAACAAGTTAAGGAAGCCTAGAGAACAAATGGATTTGTCAGTTAAAAATAGGAGAGGAGAGTTATTAAATGGAGAGTTAGAGGTATTGGGAAGATGGAGGGAATATTTCAAGGAATTGTTAAACGTTGATGAAGATAGGGAAGCTGTGATTTTGTGTATAGGGCAAGGAGGAATAACATCTTGTAGGAGTGAGGAAGAGCCAGTTGTGAGTGTGGGGGAAGTTCGTGAGGCAGTAGGTAAAATGAAAGGGGGTAAGGCAGCCGGGATTGATGGGATAAAGATAGAAATGTTAAAAGCAGGTGGGGATATAGTTTTGGAGTGGTTGGTGCAATTATTTAATAAATGTATGGAAGAAGGTAAGGTACCTAGGGATTGGCAGAGAGCATGCATAGTTCCTCTGTATAAAGGCAAATGGGACAAAAGAGAGTGCAAAAATTATAGGGGAATAAGTCTGTTGAGTATACCTGGTAAAGTGTATGGTAGAGTTATTATTGAAAGAATTAAGAGTAAGACGGAGAATAGGATAGCAGATGAACAAGGAGGCTTTAGGAAAGGTAGGGGGTGTGTGGACCAGGTGTTTACAGAGAAACATATAAGTGAACAGTATTTAGATAAGGCTAAAGAGGTCTTTGTGGCATTTATGGATTTGGAAAAGGCGTATGACAGGGTGGATAGGGGGGCAATGTGGCAGATGTTGCAGGTGTATGGTGTAGGAGGTAGGTTACTGAAAGCAGTGAAGAGTTTTTACGAGGATAGTGAGGCTCAAGTTAGAGTATGTAGGAAAGAGGGAAATTATTTCCCAGTAAAAGTAGGCCTTAGACAAGGATGTGTGATGTCACCGTGGTTGTTTAATATATTTATAGATGGGGTTGTAAGAGAAGTAAATGCGAGGGTCTTGGCAAGAGGCGTGGAGTTAAAAGATAAAGAATCACATATAAAGTGAGAGTTGTCACAGTTGCTCTTTGCTGATGACACTGTGCTCTTGGGAGATTCTGAAGAGAAGTTGCAGAGATTGGTGGATGAATTTGGTAGGGTATGCAAAAGAAGAAAATTAAAAGTAAATACAAGAAAGAGTAAGGTTATGAGGATAACAAGAAGATTAGGTGATGAAAGATTGGATATCAGATAGGAGGGAGAAAGTATGGAGGAGGTGAATGTATTCAGATATCTGGGAGTGGACGTGTCAGCGGATGGGTCTATGAAAGATGAGGTGAATCATAGAATTGATGAGGGGAAAAGGGTGAGTGGTGCACTTAGGAGTCTGTGGAGACAAAGAACTTTGTCCTTGGAGGCAAAGAGGGGAATGTATGAGAGTATAGTTTTACCAACGCTCTTATATGGGTGTGATGAATGTTGCAGCGAGGAGAAGGCTGGAGGCAGTTAAGATGTCATGTCTGAGGGCAATGTGTGGTGTGAATATAATGCAGAGTATTCGTAGTTTGGAAGTTAGGAGGAGGTGCGGGATTACCAAAACTGTTGTCCAGAGGGCTGAGGAAGGATTGTTGAGGTGGTTCGGACATGTAGAGAGAATGGAGCGAAACAGAATGACTTCAAGAGTGTATCAGTCTGTAGTGGAAGGAAGGCGGGGTAGGAGTCGGCCTAGGAAAGGTTGGAGGGAGGGGGTAAAGGAGGTTTTGTGTGGGAGGGGCTTGGACTTCCAGCAGGCATGCGTGAGCGTGTTTGATAGGAGTGAATGGAGACAAATGGTTTTTAATACTTGACGTGCTGTTGGAGTGTGAGCAAAGTAACATTTATGAAGGGGTTCAGGGAAACCGGCAGGCCGGACTTGAGTCCTGGAGATGGGAAGTACAGTGCCTGCACTCTGAAGGAGGGTGTGTTAATGTTGCAGTTTAAAAACTGTAGTGTAAAGCACCCTTCTGGCAAGACAGTGATGGAGCGAATGATGGTCAAAGTTTTTCTTTTTTGGGCCACCCTGCCTTGGTGGGAATTGGCCAGTGTGATAATAATAAAAAAAAAAACATTTATGTGTAGTGTAACCTAAGTGTAAGTAGAAGTAGCAAGACATATCTGAAACCTTGCATGTTTATGAGACAGAAAAATGGACACCAGCAATCCTACCATCATGTAAAACAATTACAGGCTTTCGTTTTACATTCACTTGGCAGGATGGTAGGACCTCCCTAAGTGGTTGCTGCCTACCAACCTACTACCTAGGTTTCTTATACTTACAGACCAAAAATCACCCTCCCAATAATAATGTTGGTTTGCTTACATGAAAAAGTTACAAAACAGCTCACTTTCCCAAAATATTGTTTACATAGGCAGCCAAGGCAAGTGGTTTTTACTACATGAGCAATTAAATAAAAATACAACAATCTTGCAAATGTTATGCAAGTACACCTACTGTGTATGATACGAGGCGATCAGCTTGTGTGGCTTCGTCCAAACTATCTTCATGGCCTTCTAAACATATCAGCTCAGACAACTCAGTTGTGAGAAGCACTATCATACTGGGTTTATCCTGAAGCAATGCTTAAAATTAATACCATGCAGAGAAAAAATACTAGTGAGTGTCAAGAGAGCTATTCAAAAATGCTAGGAAAAAAAAAGTGCTGTTAACTTCAACAGCCATACAAGTGTTAAGAACAATGCCACACCATCTTGACCTTAGTGAAGAGAGAGCAAAGTTGCCTTACTTCTGGGCATACAAGATCATTTTTCACCAAGAATAAAGTACAAAAAATACTTTACATCTTATGTAGTTCATGCCAAAAATATTACTAAGAAAAAAAAAAATTACTTTCAAAACACTTATTACAGTAGAACCTCGATTTACAAATGGGGCCCTTTGGAACCAATCAGTTTCTTACAAATGCCAATCTGTTGATGTAAACATTTTAAATATTCAAATATTATGTTCTTTAACACACTGGCCATCTCTGAACAAAGGAGAATAACAAAAAAAATTACCATTATTCATTCAGTAACTGTCTTGCCAGAAGTGCACAGATATCACAATTTGAATGACCCTATGAATTAAGGGAGTATGAAGGAGGTGAATGCATTCAGATATTGTCAGCAGATGGGTCATTGAAAGATGCAGTGAACCATAGAATTGATGAGGGGGAAAAAGGTAAGTGGTGCTTTGAGGAGTCTATGGAAACAAAGAAATTACCCATGGAAGCAAAGAGGGGAATGTATGAGAGTATAGTTGTATCAACACTTATATGGGTGTGAAGCATGGGTGGTGAAATGTTGCAACAAGGAGAAGGCTTGAGGCAAAGATGTCATGTCTGAGAGCAATGTGTGGTGTGAACATTAGACGGAGGTGCAGGGTTACTAAAAGTATTATCCAGAGGGCTAAAGAGGGGTTGTTGAGGTGGTTCAGACATTTAGAGAGGATAGAACAAAATAGAATACATATCTTGGAACTTGGAGGGCATATAAATCTGTAGTGGAAGGAAAGTGGGGTAAGGGTCATCCTAGAAAAGGTTTTGTGTGCAAGGGGGCTTCGACTTCCAGTGAATGTGCATTAGCATATTAGATAGGAGTGAGTGGAAGCAAGTGATTTTAATGACTCTGACATACTGTTGGAGTGTGAGCAAAGTAACATTTATGAAGGAATTCAGGGGAAATTGCTTAGCTGGACTCAAGTCTTGGAAGTGGGGAAAGACAGTGCCTGTACTCTGAAGGAGGGGTAAGGATGTTGCAATTAGAGGTTATCTATATTGTGATGTTTGCTCACTTCTGGAAAGATTGAATGAATGACAAAGAATGTTTTCTTCTTTGCATTACTCAGCCAGAGGTAAAAAAAAATTAAAGTTCTGCACTCTGAATTTAAAGAATTGTAGTATATGTTTGCATCATATTGTTTGTTTGTTATTTTATGGATGAACTTTTACCCGTTTTCAAGTTCCTATTAACCTGTGAACTGTCCAAACATATATATACATTCTTGTCGCTAGCACCCCAAACGTATATACCCTGTATACGTTTTATTTTTCCTTCCTCCAAATTTGGCACGATTGGCCTGAGTTGCCTGGTCAGCATAGAATGGGTCTTAACATTCAGTGTGCACCATATTAAAAAAATCTGGGACCACTTAGTACCTTGTGGGAGCGCCAGTTATATTAATATAGAGCACCAGCTAGAGCAAACAGTGCAGCAAACACCAAGGATTCACTGATGTAATGTCACAATAACACTCCCCTTTTTAGAGGAAAGTGATGTTAACCCCAAGTTTAGGGTTTGTCTATCTGTCTCTGTCTCTATTTCTTTTTATCTGTCTCACAGGTACACACAAATACAATTATACATGTAAATTACTTAGGATAACCTAAAAAATCCGAAGTGCTATACTGTGTTTGTAGATATAATGCATAAGAATACTTGTTGGTTCACAGTGGCTCTCTCTGAGACAGACAGAGAGACAAGCAGAGAGACGGAAAGAGACAAGCAGACAGACAGATAATCAGAGATACGAGCTCATCAAATGTCACCCTTTATCTCTGCACCCTTGCTGGCGCCCATCAAATGTCATCTTGTATCTCATCTTATCACTGCCCTCCCGGATGCTTGTCACTGACACTTGTCTTACACATTGCTTCTAGGGAACTTCTTCCTCCTCCTCCTCCTTCCTTCTTCTTCTATACTCTCGTGTATCCAAAACATTGCTGGGACCTATAAATACTTTGCATATATTCCTAGACAATAGTAAATGACCAAAGCAAGTGTAAATGTCCACCTGTCAATGTGTTTGTGACAATTTGAGTACAATTTCAGTACCTAATATTAGTGTCAGAACAAAGATTGGTTATGAAATGACAAGAACTACAATAAATTGTAATTACCAAAACATAAAAATTATATAAAATAATATAAAAATGAGAAAAAATGGTATATTAGCAACACTTCTGCAAGCGGCAGGACTCGATGTTGCCATCAGGTGAGCATTAAGTGCCAACTTTGCAGCCTCATATCTCAGTAAGTACTGACCCTAATTTTTTTTATTTTAATCCTATAACACTTAGAAAAATGTGCTCTTTATTTTCATTAAAAAAAATTTTTTTTATTTTTCAAAATATTCAGGGCACTGGGGTAGTGAACGTATATACAGTGGACCCCCGCTTAACGATCACCTCCCAATGCGACCAATTATGTAAGTGTATTTATGTAAGTGTGTTTGTACGTGTATGTTTGGGGGTCTGAAATGGACTAATCTACTTCACAATATTCCTTATGGGAACAAATTCAGTCAGTACTGGCACCTGAACATACTTCTGGAATGAAAAAATATCGTTAACCGGGGGTCCACTGTATACGTCTGGACCGTTTACAGGTTAATATCATAAATGTGAAAACAAAAGTATGTAAATTTTAAGTACATATAGAACAGGTTTTGCCTGAAATGCTCTTCATCCTTTGAGCCTTCAGATTACTGCACATTTTATACAATAATTTTGAAATAAAGATCTACATTTGTATTTGTAATGTCTGGCATAGGCTCTAACATGAAACAAACCATGGCAGGTAGTTGTCAAATTGAAGCAGTTAGCAATCTCTCCAAGGGGTCACATTGCAATTCTAGGAGCAACAGAAATAAAAATATAGAAATCAAACAGTCAGTCTCAAGAGTTCAACAATAATTTTATTGCAATACTGCCCAAGTGCGCAATATTGTTAAAAAAGCTCACACAGTACCCTCACAGTTTGTTAAAACTGGGTTAAGCATGCAGAATATTTAAATTAGCTGTGCAGTGCATAAGAGCCACCATTATTAGCAGAACACCATAAAATACTGTATATGCAATCACTCTTCAGAGATGCTAACCACCTGACTTTCATATATGTAGTTGTTCTACAAATAGGCAGTCAGCAATCACTTTTTGCAGATTAGATCCATGAAAGATAATGGATCCCAATGCTTAAGTGCAAAGCAGCTGTGAAAACCATCAAGTATACGAAATTGCAAGTTGTGTTACTGTACACAGGGTATTTAATATTCATTTACTACTCTTATAAACTCACCTTATATAGAATACAAGTTATCAAATTAGTCATTCTGAATTTGGATCCAATTTTCAGGAGCTGATGCCAAGATAGCAACCTGGGCCCCCGCACAAGAATATGATGAATTTTTCCATCACAAAACATTTCTGCAGGAAAGCAGTTTTCTTTTGAGATTCTGCAATGCAACATTTACAGTTAATTAAAACACCCATACTTGTTTAATAGGGAGTGGATTTATATGACTTATTGGTACTGTCAACAGTACCTACTATATATAGTAAACATAGAATGAATACAGCGCATATGAAAAGCAACCAAATAAAATAGTTTTTTTTTTTTAACACATCGGCCGAGTCCCACCAAGGCAGGGTGGCCCGAAAAAAAAAAAACTTTCGTCATCATTCACTCCATCACTGTCTTGCCAGAGGGGTGCTTTACAATTTATAAAACTGCAACATTAACACCCCTCCTTCAGAGTGCAGACACTGTACTTCCCATCTCCAGGACTCAAGTCCGGCCTGCCGGTTTCCCTCAATCCCTTCACAAATGTTACTTTGCGCACACTCCAACAGCACGTCAAGTATTACAAACCATTTGTCTCCATTCACTCTTGTCAAATATGCTCACGCATGCTTGCTGGAAGTCGAAGCCCCTCGCACACAAACCCTCCTTTATCCCCTCCCTCCAGCCCTTCCTAAGCTGACCCTTACCCCACCTTCCCTCCACTACAGATTTATACACTGTTGAAGTCATTCTGTTTTGTTCCATTCACTCTACATGTCCAAACCACCTCAACAACCCCTCCTTAGCCCTCTGGATAATAGTTTTGGTAATCCCACACCTTCTAATTTCCAAACTACAAATTCTCTGCATTATATTCACACCAAACATTGCCCTCAGACATGACATCTCCACTGCCTCCAGCCTCCTCCTTGTTGCAACATTCATCACCCATGCTTCACACCCATACAAGAGTGTTGGTACAACTATACTCTCATACATTCCCCTCTTTGTTTTCATGGACAAAGTTCTTTGTCTCCACAGACTCCTAAGTGCACCACTCACCTTTTTCCCCCCCTCATCAATTCTATGATTCACCTCATCCTTCATAGACCCATCTACTGACATGTCCACTCCTAAATATCTGAATACATTCACCTCCTCCATACTCTCTCCCTCTAATCTGATACTGTAGTACTGTTATTAAACCCTTGACTTGTGAAAATATATTAACCCAAGTACTGAAGCCTTGCAAACTCAGCCTAAGATGACAGTTACTCCATATACTTTTAAAAGGGAGGAAAATTATTTTCTGTATGCCAAACAGAGATGAAGATTTTATTTAATTTTTTTTTACCTAGAGGGCTAGTAAACCAGAATAACCCAACAAAGCATCTATTATTTATTTCCACCAAAGTCCTTTAAACCTCTTCCCTAGGATGTGACCATATACAGTTTTAAGACTAGGTATGATAGGGTCCACAGGGTAAGGAAGAAGTGTAACTGGCAAGCTGCAAGTTAAGAGGCAAGGCAAGGAGCTAGGACTCAACACCTACAACCCCACACAGGTGAGAACATATAGGCGAGTGCAGCAATCAACTAACACCCAGATACTGTAGATTGAACTGTTCATTGAACCCAGCTCCTTCAGAAGCGAGCCAAAGGTGCTACCATTTAGCCACAAGCCACCTGCTAAGATGACTTAATATAGTGGTCAGAGCTTCAGCTTACAACCAAAAGTTTCCAGGTTACAAATAAATAACAAAAAAGGCACAATACCGTGACTGGAACGATACACAAATAACCTGCACATAAAAGAGAGAAGCTTACGACGACGTTTCGGTCCGACTTTGTCAATGGTCCAAGTCGGACCGAAACGTCGTCATAAGCTTCTCTCTTTTATGTGCGGGTTATTTGTGTTTCCAGGTTACATTCTTAATGAAAGCCTAACATGCAATTCTTCTGTAATTGCTCTTTTGTCATTAGCCTCTCCTCGCTTAACGACGGAGTTCCGTCCCTAAGACCACGTCGGTAAACTAATTCATCGCTAAGTGAGGAGCATACTATAATGGTAGTGTGTTTGTGTCAACTATCTTTGATATTGTTTTAATGTCACCTTTGCACCATTTATAACATTTCTGGTATATTTTTAAATGTTTATGCAGTAGTGTACTGTATACTGTAATAAATCAACTCTAATATACATTATTTAGGCATGCACACTGGTCAGACAGCCCGTCGTAAGTCCGAGGTATCAGTAAATGAATATGTCGCTAAGTGAGGAGAGGTTGTACTTATGACTGTAGCTAATTGCACAAGAAGCCTTACTTCATATGCTATGTCTAGATCTTAAGTAGCACGTAAGCCTTATGATTATTTGCCCTAAATGCACTTTATAATTAGTGGCTTTTCTGTACCCACCATTGTATTAAAGTAGACCATCGTTTAACATCGTTTTGTCTTGCATGTTTTGGATATAGCACGATTGAAGAATCGAGGCATATTTTTGCTTAAAACTTTGTAAAATTAGTTTAACATGGTTGCAGGAGGGGAAAAAATATTGAGCACGCAGTCGCCTGTTGGGCAGGATGGTCTGTGGGTTACACCATTGTGCCAAAGGGGGAGACCCACCGCCATGCCATCCCCCACCTCCCTCAGCCACCAACGCCCACCCACACCACCCTACCAGCCTTCAGTTCGGTTCATATGAGTGTAGGAGTAGCTTGCTGTGTTTATTTACATACATATTTTCTTATTTTCATTGCCATATGCTAAATCTGCCAAGCAATCATGGCACTGACATGACTGAATGACTTACTGACTTAACTGAATAACATATTGACTTGACTGAATGACTTACTGACTTCACTGAATAACTTACTGACTTGACTGAATGACTTACTGACTTGACTAAATGACTTACTGCCTTGACTGACTTACTGCCCTGACTGACTTACTGACTTGATTGAATGACACACTGACTTGACTGAATGACTTACTGACTTGACTGACTTACTGAAAAAGAGTGTATGTTTAGCACAGTTTCTGTAATGGTTGCGGTTGCTTTTTTTTCTATCCCTCCCCGCTTTCCAACCTTCCATACCTCTCTATAATGTCAGATTTTTATTAATTAGGGCGTTTCATCATGCTTTACGTTATTTATGTTATACCCAATATTATTCTGGAATAAATATGATAGGTAGATAACCTTTAGTGATAGTAATAGTACGTATTATTATACAATACTACTTTATAGTGCCGTGAGCTCTCACCTCCACACGCCATGGTGGTCCATGAGTAACAGAGAGACCGCTGGTGCCTTTTCCCTCTCTCATAGCCCCGCCCACCCTTTAACCCTTTCAGGGTTTTGGCCATACTAGTACGGCTTACGCGTCAGGGTCCTTGACGTACTAGTACACATATTCTAGCGCCTTCAAATCTAGTGAGAGAAAGCTGGTAGGCCTACATATGAAAGAATGGGTCTATGTGGTCAGTGTGCGCAGTATAAAAAAAATCCTGCAGCACACAGTGCATAATGAGAAAATAAAAAACTTTGACCGTGTCTTTGGATTAAAACAGCGACTTTGCACTGTATTTTCGTATGGTACTTATTGTTGTATTCTAGTTTTCCTGGTCTCATTTTTATAGAATGGAAGACATATTACAGAAATTGAGATGATTTTGACTGGTTTTACAATGAAAAGTACCTTGAAATTGAGCTCAAAGTAGCAGAAATGTTCGATTTTTACCAAAGTTCTAAAGTAAACAAATCATGCTAAGTGTCCAATACACGTCAACTGGTGAGTCTAATATTCTTTCACAAGTGCGCCGATATTATTTATACCATTTCTACACTAATGCAGTAGTATGCATAACAGTAAATCTTCTACTTTTTGTGAGAATAAAAATTCAAAATGGAAAGCAAAAGAATGTAAGAGGGGCATGGGGTTGTGACTAATGAACAGAGGAAATGTTATTCTAGTGCCAGGAATGTCTTTCTTCTTTGTTCTGGACCTTATTTGGAAATTGGCATTTTTTGAAATTTGTGTGAAATTGGCAAAATTGCAAAATTCTGACCACTGTATTGGATAGTTGAAATCAGTAAATGGGTGGTTTCTTGTACTCATTCGATAGAAAAAATATAGTTCTAGCAAAATAGTTATGATTTTTGTCGACTAATACACTGGAATTGGCCGCATATAGGGCTCAAATTGGGCAAAATCACCAATGCGTAAACATCGTCGAGACCATTAACTTTGTGAGAGCATAATTCCGTAAGTTTTCCATCAATTTCATACTTTTTTTGTCATTATGATCGGGAAAAGATTCTCTATCTTTTCATAAGAAAAAATAATTTTTTTTAATTTTTTTTAAATTTGGGGGACCCTGAGAACAAGTCTCTGAGAGGGCCTGTGGACCCTGAAAGGGTTAATACCTCTCTATATAATGTCAGTTTTTATTAATTTGTGCATCTTTATCATGCTTCTATGTTATTTACATTATACCTAATATTATTCTGGAATAAATATACACCTACCATCTGACTTACAACCTGCTCGACATAAGACCACTCGACTTACGACCATGTTTTTTATGCCAAATTTCTGGGAAATAAACAACTGTTTGTGTTGTACACAGTGTTTATCCTAAACCTTATGGTATAAAATACAGTACTAACAGCATAAAAAGTAACTGAAAAATGAAATACCAAAATAAAACAATAAAATAAAATCATTACAAAAGTGTGATGTTGATATTCAGCAGTAAGGTTCGACTTACGTCCATTTTGACTTACAACCGGTTGGTCGGAACCAAGCTTGGTCTTAAGTCAGATGGTACCTGTAATAAGTAGATAACCTTTATTGATAGTAATAGTATTATTATACAATACTTTATAGTGCCGTGAGCTCACATCTCCACACGCCATGGTGGTCCATGAGTAACAGAGAGACTACTGGTGCCTTCTCCCTCCGATAGCCCCACCTACCCTTCAATAATGTCAGTTTTTATTAATTTGTGCATCTTTATCATGCTTCTATGTTATTTACGTTATACCTGATATTATTCTGGAATAAATACGATAGGTAGACATGATTTATTGATAGTAATAGTATAATTATATAATAACAAATCTATAAGCATTGCTTTGAAATGGGGTCTAGACCAGCTGATGAT